TGCCAGAAGTGGTGCATGAAAGGAAAGTGCTTGATACTTTGTTGTGTGGACCTGTCCTGAGTTACTTCCATCTTTGAAGGAAACTTGAAAGGAAACTATAATCACTTTTGCCTACCATTGAAGTATGGGGAGCACAGGGTGAAGCCAGGACTTCATCTGGAATGAAGATAACTGCCAAGAAAGCAGCTTTGGAGAAAAAGACGTGGGTGTCCTGATGGACAGCAAGTTGAACAGGAGTTAGCAGCGTGCCCTTGCAGCAAAGATGGCCAACTGCATCCTGGGTGGTACCACAGAGTGCCTGAGGCGGGGAGGGGTTTCCAGAGGTCATCTTCTCCACTGCCCTGCTAAAGCAGGGTTACCTGGAGCGGGTCATCCAGGACTGTGTCCATTTGAGTTTGGAATATCCCCAAGGATGGAGACTGCACAGACTGCCTAGACTGCTTCTCTAGGCAACCTACTGCTGTATTAGCAAGAGTGTAGCCCACAGGTCAAGTGATTTCCATCTCCCATCCTTCTGTGCTTCTGAGACTGCATCTGGAGCACTGTGTCCGGTTTTGGATTCCACAGGATGAAAGGCGTTGACACACTGATGCAGGTTCAGTGGAGAGCTACCAAGATGTTCAGAGGGCGGGAGCACGTGACATAGGAGGACAGGCTTGGGAGACCTTTATTGATCATTGAGAAGGCTGAAGGGGGATCACTTGTCTAATGGAGGGTACAGAGTTGGACTCTTCTACCAAGCGCACAGTGAAGGATGAGAGGCAACAGACACAACTTGATAACAAGGGGGAACTTGAGACAGAAGGAAAAGCTTTTTCTTCTGTGAGGGCAGTGAAGTTCTCCAGAGAGATTTGGCCATGTTCATCCGTGGAGATGCTGAGATTTGACTGGACAAGATCCTGAGCAACCAGCTCTGGACCTGCTTTGAGCAGGAGGTTGCACTTGGCCTCTGGAGGTCCCCCTCAAAACCAAAGAATGAAGCAGTGGTGTTTAAAATAGGAAGGTTTGTTGGGGTTTCTTTGTTTCCTCTTTAGTTGGTGATGATGATTTCGGTATTCTTTGTTTAGTTTCTATATCAGGGCAGTTTTCTTTGGTCTTCTGACCGTGAAACACCAAACACTGACACAGCTTTACGTTTTTCGTAATTTCTTTACTCAACATCCACTTTTCCTTTGAGGATGGTTAACATTCAATCAAAAGAAGAATGTTCTGTAATAGGAAGATGACAACAGCTGTTCTGGTTCAGATGAGGGATAGAGACTCCTGCAGTCTGTGTAAGTGGGCATGCAAGGAAGAGCAAGAACAGGGCAGGTATTTAGGATGTTTTCCCCTGAGCATTCTCTTAGCTTCTGAATCTATAAGAGCTCAGGGGATTTCTTGAACTTTGTGCAATGTTCCTGTATGCTGTTTTTAGTGAATCTCTTCAGTAAGTGCTTGTCCAGTCTCCTTGGGAACACACATAAGCAGTGTTTCGATCCATGACAGACTTCGGTAAGAAGTTCTGCCGACCTGCTGCTTGTTACGTGAAGAGCTGCCTCCTTTTGTTTGTTTTGAAACGTCTTCTCTTGATATTCATGTGATTTCCCGTTGTTGTTAATATTAGAAAGGATAATGAACAGTTGATCCACAGTGCCCACATTATACCATTTTTGGTTGTGTCGTTATCCTGGGAAGTTATCTTGTTTCCAGGCCAAAAATCCTTACCACTGAAGAATGCTCTTTGACCCTATGTATTACTGTAGTTCTCCTTAGTTTTAGTGAATCTTCTGTTTGTTTATTCCAGCTAGAAAGGGTACTTCTGGGAAAATGATTCTCAATTTCAATCTGTAGAAAAGTAACATTTAATACTGCAGATTCTTAGAGATAAAATACATCACGTGATGAACGTGAGAGTAGGAGTGTAAGTTACCTGAGAAGCTTGAGAGGAGAGTGTCTCATCTGGATATCTGACACTTAAGAACAAGAGAAAATTCTTGTTTTGCATTACAGCTATCTAAAACCATAAGATAATGCAGTACAAGGTTCTCTGATGTTTTCAGTGGAGGAGCCTTTGAGTTAGACTACTAAAAATATGTTTGAGACGTGTATAATGATGACTGATGAATAGTGTATTCCTTGGTTTTCAAATGGTTTTAGTATTCAGTATTCAAGTTTGGGGAGTGTGGGCAAGAGTAATACTGCAGGAAAAAAAAATCACCTTGAAGGAGATGATGATGAGGTTGAGGTTTTGGGAGCAATAAATTTGAAGATGTTTCAGGCCTTTTGATTTTTTCTTCACTGGAGTCCAGTCTACTTCACTTGGTGTAACAACGTGTTTAAACTTCTTGTAATGCCGAAGTGTTTGAGCGCTCTTCTTAGTTTCTGGGACAAGAATGAAGTGAGAGCTTTGCTGTTACGCTTTTGTTTCTAACAACAGTATCTGCATCCCCAATACCCTTTTTTTGGGAATTCTTGTCCTTAGTATTCTTGCTAATTTAGATCTGGATTTGCTAGATTATTACAACATTATTTATAAAGATTCCTCTTGTTGCTTTTAAATCTGAAAGATGCAGGGTGAAATCCGTAAACATCTGTAGTATTACAAGGATGTTTGAAATTAAGAAGTGACGGACGTGCTCCAGCACTGTACTTTGTGTGCATGATCCTTTCTTGACATGAGTTAAATAATGAGATGCTAGTCAGCAGAAGTTTTTTCTACTTTCAAGGGATTCTTGTTGAAATATGTAGTCTGTTGCTACAAGGAATCTTTACCGATTATGCTCTTACCAGCTGACTATAAATTCATTTATTATAACCTGTATTTTCATTTTGCTGTCTCTGGAAGTCATCATGGCCTCAGTTTAATTTTTCTTTCAGGCTTAGAACTGGTGAAAGCTTCACTTACCTGTGCATTATTTTCTGATTCTGTTCCTGAATGCTCTTTGTTAAGCTGTTTATCAACGTATTTGCATCAGTGCTTCTAGATGTACTTTTTGGTTTATTGTAGAGGTACCAAGGCTCTTTGTGCATGCGGATTTTTTGATGGTTGTTGTCCATTAAGCTTACTCCCAGAAGTTAAGTCCTTTGTAAACTGTGACCGTCTATATTCTCACTGGTAATATAACTTAAAGTATTCTTGATGCTCTGCTTTTGTCTATTAGCCTGTCAGAGGAGATGAATGTATATTGGCAGAGTAGCACCAACACATAGAACAGTGTAATGGCTGCTTTTTGGTCTTGGTACTCAGTGTGAATTTTGTCAACATTGTAGCTGATTAGGAGGATTATTAGGGGCTGGGTAACATTTTTAAAGGCAAACAGAAAAAAAAAAAAAAGATGGGACGAAGGATTCAGGAGTTGTATAAAATACCCTCCTCCATCTTGTTATCTTGACATAGACTTTTTTTGGAGGAAATCCACAGGTTTCATCAAAGCAGCATGTGGAAATTGTGAAGTTGTACATTACTTTGAAATTTTGCTGGTCACTGGAAGGTGTTACACCCAGCTTGTGGCAGGGGCGTGTGTATTTGTACATTTTCATGTACATGTTTTTAATACAGGGAAGAAGATACATGTTATAAAACTACGTTTCTTCTCTGGCTGGCTGTGCGACTGAATTTAGCTAGTTATCGAATGTTGGTAGTGAAAGATAGCCGCTGAAGCTTCTGTTACTCTGAACAAAGTGAAACACCTACGAAACATGCTTTGCCTTTCCTTCGCCCTACAGTCCTTGAGAACAGGGAAAGAAAAAAAAATCATTCCTCAGCAGAAGAGATCTTAAGTGCTGAAGTGTCAGTGGAGTATTTTCTAATACTTAATAAGGAAGACGAGGAATTCCTTGTGATCACTGTCAAAACCATGATACTGCTTCTATGGATAGGAAAGATGTCTAGATGCTTTTCCTGAAACTTGCTTTATGGGGCTTGAGATACTTGCCTGACGCTGAAGTACGTAATAATTCCTCAGCAGAAGAGATCTTAAGTGCTGAAGTGTCAGTGGAGTATTTTCTAATACTTAATAAGGAAGACGAGGAATTCCTTGTGATCACTGTCAAAACCATGATACTGCTTCTATGGATAGGAAAGATGTCTAGATGCTTTTCCTGAAACTTGCTTTATGGGGCTTGAGATACTTGCCTGACGCTGAAGTACGTAATACAGGTAGCAGATGACTAACTGTTGACTTTTGTGTGTTGACTGTCATTGGTATTTCAGCTGGTACAACTTTTCTGTGCTTTTTGTGGAACGTTTGTTCCCTTCTGTGGAAAACTGTTGATTAACTGCTGTGTTGAGAGGCATCAAAATGGAGTTTATTGCCAGGTTCACGGAGTTGCAGTTCCTCAGTGGATGCAGTGAGGAGCATAGGAGCTCTGCAGTGTGTTTCTCCTGCCTGGGGGACTGGGACTGGGAGAATTGAGAACTTAAGAGGTTCTCCCAGTAGTGCCATTACCAAGAAACTGCTATGCCTAACTCATACTTGACAATATTAAGGATCTTATCATTTTGACAGTACAGGGTCTTTTTCAAAGTTTAGCACCGTTATTTATCCTTCATTTTTGCCGTGCCAGACTCATATTTCTTATATTACAATCGTTGTCCCATCAACACAGAGAGAGGAACAGAGTGTTTCAAATTCTCCAACTCTTACAACATGAGACTGACTGTACAACTCCATACAACTTGCTGTATAACTCTTGCCACCGTTCACAGCTTGAATGTACTGGGGTTTGGGATGTTTTGTTTGTTTGATTGGGGTTTTTTTTGAGGGGCGTGTTTTTGGTTTTTGTCTTTACACAGTTTAGTTTTAGCCAGCTTTCCCCCCCCTGGAGTAAGAAACCCAACCATAGTGCTGCATGCTCTTGAGAGGGTGATCATCAGAGTTAATACATAAGGGTCTGATGCAGGAGCTAATTGCAGAAGTAAATAAATACATTTTCCTCTGTGTTTGTTATACCATAATTGAAAACAAAAAGCCAAACATAGTTTCAACTAATGAATTGTTTTGCTTTGTTTTATGTTTTAGAAATATGGCAAATTAACATCTTGTACTGGCTGCAGAGCTCAGTGCAGGTTTTTTGACATGACTCAGTGCATAGGACCTAATGGATATATGGAGCCATACTGCTCAACTGCATGTATGAACACACACAAATCAAAATATGCAAAATCACAAAGTAAGTGAAAAGGATGATGGATTTTCATCACTGATAAGAGTAGACTTTTTTTTTGGGAAGTCTGAACACTGGGAGTGGGTTTTTTTGTTTAAGACTTAATCTACGCAGATGTGATTTTGTAGCTTTTTTAACTTATTAACCAAAAAAAAAAAAAAACCCACAACATTTTATATTCAGTACTGGTACTGATAAATGGACCCCTGAGGGGTCATTTTCCCCACTGGCCTTTCTGCTGATGTCAGAGACAGTTGTGAACTGTCTTAAGGCTTCCTGGGAAAAAATGCTGAGACATAATGTGCTCTGATGTGTCACAGAATGATTCATGCATATGAATTAATATTCTCTTGTCTGAGATGCAACCCCACCCCATTTTATCTCCTCAGGCAGCAGTTGGAGAAGGATAGGTATAGTTATAATGTATATGGTTATTCTCCAGGTAAAATTTTTGATCTGGGTGAAAGGAACTGATAAATAAATGTGTGTTCTTCAATATGCAAAGCAGGCATAGATCTCAGTTCAGTGAACTCAAGGATGAAAATACTCCTGTGAATTTTATAGAAGAAGGTTCAATTTCATATTTAATACTGATCTTTAATGGAAGTATTCAGCAAAACCTCTGCAATTTTTTCTGGTTTATGTGACTTTCAGAAGCTGACTGGAAAACAGACAAATCTTAGCTTTTTACATTGAAATGGTGGGAAGAGCTGACCTGTAATCCAGTATTTTTTTGCACTACTAGTTTGTGTTTATTTTGTTTGTAAACTGCATTTTTCTTTTAGGTATGGGAAATATTTGCCACTTTTGTAAACGAAACTCTTTACCTCAGTATCAAGCCACAATGCCTGATGGAAAACTGTACAACTTTTGCAGTTCCAGTTGTGTAGCTAAATTTCAGGTTAGCTGTTGTGTTAAATCTTTTCCTCCCTAAATATTTGTGTATCTGTGTTTGTGTTAAGTATTTGCATATTAAACTAACTTGCTTGTATATACAGTTTTATGTGCTATAACTAACATAGCAGGTGCTTGTGGCTCATAACAGTTTCTTTGATGAAAGTACTGTCTCATAATGATAACACTAGCTGCTGTCTGAAACTTATAAAATTGGATAATAACAACCCATTTCTCCTTAATACCACAAGAAAATGCAAAACAATATCACTGCTCGTCTTAGTTGTATCACCACAGCCTCTTTATGGAGATGAGCCTTACTGTTTTGCATTGACAAGTTTCATCTCTTTGATAGTAAATACAGTAATAAAATTCTCACATTCAATATTGTACAAACGAAGGTGTGACATGGGGAATAGCGACTGTCTCTGAAATGACAGGTTAGAGCCTAAACCATTAGAATGTTTGTGGAGAAAACCAGCTGCTTAAATTATGTCCTGAAACTGGAGTGTTGCAAGCCTGACCATAGGCACACTGGAAGAGGCTGCTATGCTTGTTGAAAATGTCATATTAAAAATAGGACTGAAGGTTAAAGCCTATGTAAAATGTGTTGTAGTGGTTAATCTTCGGGTGATCAAAGAAGATTTTTAAAGAAAATACTTCAATTTTTTAATGTAAAACCAGTTTTCCCAGATGTGCACTGTATAATTGATAATTGCCTCCTCATGTGTTATTGCATAGTTACACGTATACAGGGTTTTCCCATTTGTCATTAAGCTTTGCTGTTTTCTGTCAACTGGAAAGCAAATCAATCTCTTACTTGCTTTCTTAGCATACCCTGGATAGGACTTCCATCGTGTAGCCCTGCTCTGTGCTTCTTTCCTAACCAATTTAGTAGATGTCTGGCAGTGGAACTGATTAACAGAATAGATGCAGATTGTTAGTATGTAATGACAAATCTGTAATACTTCTTGAAAACTCATTCAGCATCTATTTTATTTTACGTGGTCTTAAAATTGATTGCAGCCCCAGGAGCTCTCAGAACAGAATCTTTCTACCTGAGTGAGAAAAATAGAGCTAGTGAATGACAAATACAGCCTGGGCCTTCTTGGATTTGCAGATAAGTCAACATTAACTGACATCATTGAATATAACTGATGCATCAGTTGATGCTGGTTGTGGGTTTCTGATCTTACTGAGATGCTAATGCTTCTGCTGCAGTTTCAGTGCTACATGTAGATCTGTCTCTTTAATGTTGTAGCAAAGTTTAATTAGAGCAGCCATACAGGCTGTGAGTAATGACCAGTAATGGGTGGGTGGACGTTTGCTTACAGTTACTTTGCTCAAACATCTCTTTCAGATTCTAACTTTTATCACTGCCCAGGAGAATAAAATGTATTCACCATTAGATAAAGAGTTGGTTGTATGAGAACAGCTTCTTTGTTCTGTTCATTTAGTGTTTAGATGGAAAGGACAGTAAACCACAATGTGAGCATTGGACTGTAAGTGTTCCCTTCAGGCTTTTTTATATGCCAGTGACACATAAGCGATTGAACCCAAATTGAGAAAATAGTTTAATCCATTTCGTTTAATCGGTTTGCAATGATCTTTTGAAAAAATGGCTGATTTACTATTCCCTATTTTCCACTGTTTACTAATGCAGATCACTCTTGTTTTAATTTTCTGGCATTCTATTAATCCCTGTTTCTTACTGTGCCTGTTCTTCCTATACATTTTTATTTGTCAGAGGTTACCCTTCTCAGAACAGAATAACTGATCTTTCAGCTCTGTCTCCTTTCTGAAAAAAAAAAAAAGTTTTTTTGATTTACAAATGGGATGGAATATTTGAATTCCCAATTTGTTCACAGTACTTTAGGGTTGATGGTAATTTTAGTTCTTGAATAACCATTTGTTTCAAGCTAAATGTTTTTTTAATGTATTTAAATATTTGAAAGATTCAACTGAGCTGCTTGTTGGGCAGCTTATGTCCATATCTATATTCTCCTTTGTGCAGACAGCTTGCAAGGGGATTCATCCTTGTGAGAAAGAGGGTGAAAGAGGGAGAATAGCCTGCTTGATGAGATTTTTTTTTGGTAGTTAGTGGTAGAATACTGCGTCTTTCTTGTCTTCTTTCATGCTCTGTCTTGGAGGATGTTATTGTGGAGTTAAGGACAGAACTGACCCAAAGTTACGTTAAGTCAGTGTTGCTATTGGTACCTTTACTGGATCAGTTGAAGATCTTGATCTGAACTTGTCTCCTAAGGAAAAATAAACTGCTAATGTATTTACTGTGAACGTGGAGGCTGTAGGACAACGTTTTCAGTAGTTTACTCACTCTGGTTAATTACTATTGTTGTGTTCTCTTTCACCTTCATCACGGTGTCTGTAAGTGTTCTTCGTTACATACCTTACATCTTTCTTGCACGCACGTATATTAAAAAAGGAGTACGTTGCAATGGGAGGCATGGAATCATAGAATCATAGAATGGTTAGGGTTGGAAGGGGACCTTAAAGACCGTCTAGTTCCAAGCCCCCTGCCATGGGCAGGGACACCTTCCACTAGACCAGGTTGCTCAAAGCCACATGAGCCACATGGAGGAAGCTTGGCATGCCTGTCACAGAAATACTTTACCAAATTTGATCATAATAAAAATAATTGAGGCTTCCACGCTGAGACTGGAAGATCTGTGCGTGCATGAGTATAAGGGGAGTGTTTGGTTCCTTCCTGTTTAATTTAGTGCCCTTGATTTTGCTTGTGGAACAGTCCTAGGGGATACCATACGTAAAAGGACCCTCGTATGTATTTGCTTCTCTTTTACACATTAAAAACAACTTAATTCTTTCAAAGGTTTTTTTCTCAACTAGGAAAAACCTGATCACAGTCTGGCTGTCTACTAGCCCTCCCACACCTATATACAGAAACGTTTCCACGAATTGATTTTGCGTTGCTATGAGCAAGATTAACCCCTCTATCGCTTATGCTGGCAGGGGCAGGCCAAAGCTCTGCTACGACACTGGTCTTCTCAGAAGAGTCCTAGCCTGTGTCTGCCTACTGTTCATTAGTAATTTGGCAGCTTAGAGCAATTTGAGGTGGCTGCATTGAACACTCAAGAGGGCTTTACAATGTTTTTTTTGCTTTGCTTGGCACTTGCCATGCTCTTGTTGTTCAAAGCGGGGTCATGAAAAGTGAGATTAAACATCAGTATTTTGTGACTGAATTTAAGGTATTCAAAAGAATGTGTCTGTGTGTGTGTGTGTATATATATGATTTCAACGATATCTTTGATGAACATCAACATTGATAAAACCTTGCTCTTCAGGGTGACCCATGAAAGATTTTAATGAATTTATGGTCTTTTTACTGCATTATTCTGTGTGTGTGTTAATGCTCACAAATAATTCCTAAAGATATTCTCAGTTCTAAGGATCTTGTTAGTTAGAGGCAAAGCAAGATGATGAGGATACTGCGTGCGTGCCATCTTGACTCATTCGAGCACTGTACAGTAGCAGTCCTTAAATGTAAGCAGGATAATAGAAACTTTAAGGAGGCATACAAAGTCATGTTGTGATTGACTCTTGGTTTTACAATCATCTCATGCTTGGTTTAGAGCTTTCAGTAATATGAATTCAGTTCTTTACTGATTTCTGGGGGAAATTACTTAATTGACTGTAGAGGTTTGTGATAAAAATAATTGGCTTTGTTTTAGAAGCAGTAATGCTTGATTATTTAGAAAAGTTTTTTTAATCTACAGTTAGATGTAAATATTCTTTAAAACAAGTTTTAATTTTAAACAGTCTCAAACTCTGTTTTCTTACATCTCTAGCTTTTGTCACTGTTCAATTACCAGCCACCTAGAGTATGTAGGGCCTGAATTTCTACCACAGCACACAGGTGGGAAAAGAAGTAAAAGAAGCTAATGATGCCATGCAACAGAAATCACCAAAAAACCATGGTTTACTTGTAGCCCTCACAATAGGATGTTTTGATGCCATATTTAAAGGTAATTACAGACATCAAAAAATAGAGTTGCTTTTCATTTGATGAGCACTTCATATATTTCATGGCCATTCCTCCCTCTGCCCTCAGTGTTTCTGTACAGGTTGTCGCACCTGCTAGTTCTTTAACATGGCCTTCATTCCTGAACTGGAGGTGGTGGGTGTATTTGCTTCTTGATTTCTTCTTGTTTTCAGCCAGGACTTGTGGGACTTCATTGTGTTTACGTAACTGTATGGCAGCACGTGTTGAGTGTGGTGTTTGCTTTGTGAGGAAACCTGCCAGTGCAGAAACACACAGATTGGACCTTGACCTTAAAACACCTTTGTGGCTTGCACTTTAGTGCAGCTCTTCAGCTGTCTATTTAGAGCAGCCAGAGTCTAACAAACCTCTATCAACCACAGGGACATTGGCTGGATACAGTGAGAGATACAATACTGTATGTGGGCATCAGGGTTTGTTATTGAAGTTGTTACGGGACAATGAACCATTGGGATAAAGGTGGCATCTTCTCTGCAGTATATGGCATTTTATTGTCAGGTGACTGGGCAATGTGCATGATTACTTAATGTTACCAATACTAGCTAGCACTCAGCAGTACCGGTCTGCTTATGTGAGGGCTTATATCTGTAACCAGTCTCATCACAACGATTTTTATGGCTTTTTTTAGTGTAGATGAATCCTTAGTAACATGACAGTCTGAAACAAAGTATCCTGTAACAGAAATGTTTTACACTTTCAATCTTGGGAAGTGGAGAGGTAGTAACGAATCTGTCTGAAGAGAATTTGTCATCTTTAAATGTATTTATCTTGTTGCGAACAGTGTGGGAAGGTTTGTTGAGAAGATGGGCATTTGTCCTCTGCATCCTTCAAGTGACTGTGATCACTACTGAGTCAAATTTTGTCTTGAACATCACATGTGTTATACAGCAATAGTTGTTGCTTGATCTAGGGAACATGCAGGAGACTATGTTTTGTAGGCATGGAAGACCTAGTGGAAGACCACAGGTGCTATAAAATCGAGTTTTCTATCTACCGATTGCCTCACAAATGCATTAAGTGAATTATTCAGAGAGAGGATTAAATGGTCATACCTACACAAGCAATCTGTAGTATTTTTCTCAATCTGAAAACCCTTAATTATTAGGCTGCGTGAATGGTTGTATCTTCCTGCTGCAGGGACTGAGGCCAGCTGGGTCTATTAGTTAGTTTTCTCTTCATCTGAATAGATGCAGGGTTTCTCACTGCAGGCCTTTTACTTTAGTATTTGTATTTGCAAGTGGGTATGCCTCAGTAAGCTGTTGATAATCTGCCTTGGTGATGTTTGGATTTGAAAATATGTGTTTGTAGGTCTTTGAACTTCTATGACCAGAATAAGGCAAGCTGTGAAATGTATGTACCTGAGAAAACATGTTTTGTGATTAACAGGTGTTCAGTTTGGGAAAGATTTTTTTTTTTTTTTTCATTTATACATTACCCTTAAATAACAGGCATTAGAAAGGTAAGGTAAAAGAAATGCAACCTAAACGGTTGAAGTAAGGGTAAAGATTCACAATCAGAAAACATAAGATGACAAGGGAAAAGGAATTAAGGGAAAAGACTGAGTTGCTGTGCTTTTGCCAGAAATGCTCCTGCTTTTTATTTATAATCTCCAAAGCTCTCCAACACAGTAGGCTTAATTGAAAAGCACATTTTAAAAGTAACTTTCTTTTTTAGTGATGTGTATGTGTATTTGTGTTTTTCAGGCTCTCAGTGTACAGTCTTCAACAAATGGTCAGTTTGTCTCTCCCAGTGATATTCAGTTGAAATGTAATTATTGCAAAAATGCTTTTTGTTCAAAGCCAGAAATACTGGAATGGGAGGTAAGGGTGTTTTGTGTTATTTTTGAATTATGAAGTGTTGAAAAGTTTAAACCTCTAACTCCAATAAAATTTTTCTAGAAAGCTATTTCATAAGGTATTGAAGCTTAAAAAAATAAGTTAATAAAAATCTACCTGGTTCTGTAGAATATCATTTAACTTTAGTATGGATAAAAGCAGAAGTCTTTGTTCATAAATAACAAATAAAAAAGCATCTGTGGTATTTAAAGAAAAATACAATTTCTCACATCAGCTGTAAGTTGGACATCTGCTTTTGTCTTCAGTTATTGTATTACTGTGGATATGATAGACCATTGTTACACTTCTCTGTGAACTCAGAGAACTATCTTAAGAGGACATGCTAAGATTGGTGTATCTTCTGTTTAGCATTTTCATATGAAATGATGAGCATTTGCAGCACTCACTGTCAGCTTGAGTGAAAGTTGTTAATTTTTGGCATTAGAAGTCAAACCCTAATTGTATGTTGGCACTTCAGTTTACTTTGCATGATTGTTAAAATGGCAGACTATTAAAAGTTGCACTCTCCAGATCCTAAGGTTTTATCCATTAACCCTATTCTTGATGCTTTGCAACTTTGCATTTAGAACAAAGTGTATCAGTTCTGCAGCAGAGCATGTTCTGATGATTATAAGAAACTGCACTGCATAGTTACATACTGTGAATACTGTCAAGAGGAGAAAACACTGCATGAGACGGTGAATTTCTCTGGCATCAAAAGACCATTTTGTAGTGAAGGTATGTATGTATATGGATTTTTTCTAAGGTACCGGTCATTGTGGTTTTACTGCTGTTGACTTACTATATTAATATTGAATTTTAAATTTTAATGTAACAACTCATTCTGTTGTATTTGAGGCTGAAACAGAAATTTCTTCATTATTATTAATTAAGTGCATGTGTCTGTTATTAATGCATGTACCTGTTCATTTATCTGAGCTGATTTTAAGGTCTTTTGTTGTGTTTTCACCACTTACTCCAGGTTAAGGAAGAGTGGGCAACATTCTTCTCTGTGTGTGTGTGTGTATAAATACATACATGTACGCACAAAAAAATACACATAAATTCTATTTTTGAAATTTATGCAGCAGAGCCTGTACTAACACTAACTGCATTGAGGAATTCCAAGCTTTCTCTTTGATTAGTATTTTCAAAATTCAATTCAACAGTGGAAATTCTTTCTACATTGACTTAGAATGGTTATTCAGGTAGTAACTTGAATGATGTACATTGATAATTGTCATTATAATTTTCCTGACTAGTGATTTGGGCTGTCAAGAAGAAAACAAACTAAAAAAGAGGTATATGGGCATAGGATTCTTTTAAGTGGCATTAAAATATAGAATGTTTTAATAGAAACAATAAAATGCAGTATTAATAAGAACCTAGCCTTTCCACTTCTGGGATACTGGTATTTAATCCTGATCGTAAAAGCTTAACTACAAGTTTGGGTGACCTGTCTCTGGAGGTTATAGTGAATATTTTTTTTCTTTAATTACATTAACAACACTTTCGCTACCATGTGATAAACCTTGCTGAAGATCTTTGCTTTGAAACAGATAAAACAGTGGGTGTGTCAGTTGACTTGTCACAGGACCCTGTTAACCTGGAGAGGGTTGAAGCGTGGGGTTGGAGACAGCCTTCCCTCCACGCTGTTCCCTTATAGCTCTGGACTCTGTAGTCTTCTATTTCTGATGAATGGAGTGTGGTGGGTTAGGTTTCTTTGCCATCTTTAATTTCTTCTTATGTTCTGGACTGCAAAGTGATAAGGAGAGGGGAAAAAAGGAGAAAGCAAGGCCTGGTTTTACAGTGTAGCATTGCAGTGCTCGGTAACATCTAGCTACAAATTGTCTTTGTGAATAAATGATTCCACAGAATGTGTTTAAAGACAAGAGCAAACCGGCTTTGGCCTGGGGATTACAGTGAATGCTGGTATTACTGTGAATACTTAACTACTCCCTCATTATAAAGCCTGGTGGCTGTCACAGCAGAATCAGTAAGATTCATAATGCAAGTTGTGCCATATTACTGCTTCTGTAGATACATTGCTCTATGAGGAGGCTTGAAATAAGGGAGGACTTGTATTTCCTATTGTAAAATTCGGGAAGGAAAGAAATAGCCTCTCTCCTGGAATCCATTACCAGGTGTCTTAGTCTGGGTCTTGAGTTTGCATGTGTTGGACTGCCAGCTTGAGAGCAATGACGATCTTCATGAGGTTGAATACGCCAAATGTTACCATTAAAACAAAGTTTATTGGTTTACTGTGATGATCTAAACTACTGAGTAATAGAGAGAAGGTAGTCAGAAGCACCACTAAGCATAAAGTAACTTGAATAAATATGGCACACATCTGCCAGCTGTAGTTTAGGTCTACTTTGGATGCATATGAAAAAAGCTATCTGTGTTACCTGATGAAAATAAACTGCTGACCTGGAGAGAAGCTCTGTAGAATCAACCCAGGCCCTGTATTTTAAAGGAAGACCTATGATTATCATTGATTTCTGCAGAAATAATGGAATCCAAGAGTTAACAGTGTTTAGATCTGATGTGGGGAGGAGAGGGCCAGGTCTTTAGATGGAGTCACCAAGTAGAATTTTCTCTTTCCACTCTTCCAGGCACCCAAACACCACCAGTTTTGCTTTGATGCTATAGCCTTTTTCCAGAAATACATCCAACCGTTTGTAAAGTAGAAAAACTAGGAAATGAACCAAATAAACCGGTTGGATATGGAGGCCATGCTGGTTTTGATAATGCAAAGTGTTCAAGAAACTTCAGCAACATGGATTGTTTTGTTGAGCATGCTATTATTCGTCAGCAGAAGAAGCTGTATTACAGTTTGAGAAGAAACGACCTCATTTGTGCTTATTTGTTCATCTTCAAGCAAACTGGTGGAAAAACATACATAAGATCAACCACAAATACCCCTTGACTGCTCCTGCCTGCCTAGCCTGGGTGCTGAAGGTGTCCTCACTCCTCTGCTCACATTCTTCATGCCTGAGGGTTTTTTTTTACACATGCACACACAAACCTTGGCACTCACATCAAAGTCTCTGGGTTCAGTATTTCTGTGCAGTTTCATTCCAACTCTGTTTCTTTATATGTTTCTCTTGATATCTTTAAAAATATGTGCAGTGACCAGCTGAAACCTCCATTGCAATAAGGGGTAATTAGAACTGACCTATTGTTTGTGCTAAAGGTGGTTATTAATTTTTTTGTAGAGTACAGTATGCTTTTTCTGTTTCTGTCCAAATCTTGGATGCTACGTGGAGGATGAATAACCTGAATGGACTAGCTGAAAGAGTTTAATCGGTTCCCCTGGTGCTGAGGCTTTGAAACTGTCCTGGTGTTTTGCCACTAAAACGCCTCATCCCAAAATACCAGTATCTAAATTAAATAAGGTGTATATTGTATATGCTAAGCAGGAAGATCAAAGTTGCCTGTGGATTTTTATGTATGTGCAGTTCCATGAGTGACAACTGAAGATATGCTATGCAAGTTTTTAATCCTGAGGAAATCTTCATGTTATTGAGGTTTGGGGTTTTTTTAATATATATCCCATCTGAAGGTCTAGAAGAACAAACCAGTCTTTGGCGAGCCAGCAGTGGAACTATTTTATGATGAGTATCACCATAACGTTTTTTACTTGTAGACTTATTTTGCATTTAATTCATCTTTTCAGTAGAACTAAGTGTTATGATTTAAATAAGACAGGACTTGTAATAATTTTATAAATTGAATTTTAATAACACTGGTTCATATCCATAGTCTACTTCATGGAAGGGTCTTTGGAAGCTTCTTGGAAGCTGTGAAGTAACTCAGTTATCTGATGCTTGGGAGTTCCTTTCAAATAGATAATACAGATAAAGGACAGCCATGACACTTAGCAGCTGTACTATCATCTTGATAGTGTGCTAGTAAGTTTTTGGGAATTATGGATTCTGCAAATTAAACTCAGTATAAACAATTCTGATGTTTCACCTGAACAGAAATAACACCTTTTGAAATACTGTAGAGCTGGCAAGTGGAAAAAGAACTTTGGGAAGTTAAGTGATTTCAGACCTGAGTATGTTTAGGAAAGATGTTTATTCAGTTAAAGCACTGGAGATTTTAGAGTGCCATTCTTCCAACCACTGCTTCATAGTGGATTGTTCAGTAAAGTATACTATTAAATGTTGATTAATTTTTAGAATTATATGAAAACATTACAGATATTGGGAACAGCGTAAACACGAATGTGTTAAACTTCATATAGGTGTTTACATATGAGTGTTTCACAACCAATTAAGATATTTCCTGAAATTTATAGCAATTCCTGTTGTTACTAGAAACATGAAGAAACTGGTTTCAAAACAGATGTTTGCTATGAAGTGTTGCTAAGGCTTGGTTATAGTTGCTGGGCTTCTCCGGTTGGTGGAGAACTGCACTGAGGCTGGCATGCCGGCCCTGCCAAGCTGAGCTCCTGTGTTCCCCTGGGTGAAGGGGGTTGCCATCAAGCCTGCCTGAACCTCCTCATTCCTGATGTTTGGTTTCATTATTGTTAAACGTGGGAACTACAGTAACTGTTTAAACACAGGGGGTTTTTATAGTTTACATTGTTGACTATCTGGTTTTAGAGCCACTGATACAACTTTTAAAAATAGAGTGCACAGAATTTGGGCTAGTGTACAGAAGTTTTTGAAGACTGTATTAAAGCACCCATTTTTATGAAAAATGGTCTGTCATAATTACAGTGGCTTAGCTGCGTGCTGCTTTGCAATATGACCACCTAAAGCTATCGAGGATTTGTAAGTAGTATAGAATGTGGTTACAGGAAAAAAAATTATGTTCGGTATATTTAAAATTTCATATCACACTTAACTGTTTTGCATAATAAATATTCTGTTTCAAGCTCTTGGTTTTGTGCTTTGCAGAGCTGTTATCTCCCTCTGCAGCCATCACAGTGGCCAACATGTTAAAATAACTTGTGCTTGCTGTGGTGCCCTTTCGACTTTAGGCTACCCTGTTAGACAGTTTCGTTTTGCTTTTGACCAATTCTTTTGGCAGATAAATAAACCTGACTTAGCAGCTTCCTTGTGTCTTTCTTTTCAGGGTTTATTTGGTGATGAGTTAGAATATCCTGGCAAAAGGGGACAAATGAAAAGCAGAACATGTCAAATACTGTAAAATGTATGATCTATAAAGATGCCTTTTCACAATTGCATGTGAGTCATGTTGTTACTGAGGAAAGGTATTCCTTTCCTACTAATTAGGTTAGCAGAAAAGTGAAAGTCAACTTCAGAGGGATTTTGAGATGCTTGAGTTACTCTTGGAGAATACTTTCTGCTTTGACTGTTATGGACAAAAGTTACAATGGGATGTCCTTGTCATCAGTTTGAGCCATGTCAGTTTTTGTTGGCGTACTCTGATTGGCACAGTGCAGTTGTTTGGGCCATGCTGTCTTAGTAGTCTGGTATTAAAACTTTGAGCTCCAGATGACTGGTCCAAACAAACTTTATTACTGGAAAAGCTCAAAGATACTTGTCTGCAGATAAAAGTGAGTTAAGATAAAAAAGACAGTGCATCGCAATCGGAAGAAACAGGCTTCCTTGCTGCAGAAGCACCAAGGGAAGGCTCTTGGCTATACTGAAGGAAAGCACAGATCCGTACCTTCCTACAAACGCATGTGAAAGAGCTGGAGAGTTGGTTCTTGTGAGAGTCGACAAGTGTGAGTCCAGTTGTGTGGATGTGGTTTCCAATTAGTGCTTGTTGGATGTGTATCTTCTGGAATGACTTGAACATTTTCAGCTTGTTAGCCTGGTTTTTGATACTTGTGGCAGTGTTCTTGTAGTTGACAAAGTCGATAGAACTATGCTGAGGAAGAGATGATGTTTATTTTCCCTCTCTCTGTAGAGGGAGAACATTCATACTGTTAAAGTAATGTCGTTTTAATTTTGAGTACAGGTTGTGCTGAATCTTGAGATTTTGTGCTCATGGAGAGCTAATTTCTAACACGGTAAAGAATATCAAGTGAAGCCTTGTGCGTTGTTTGACTACAGTGGTCCTTGTTAAATTGACGTTCTTCGGTGTTAATTCTGCTGTTGTGCCTTTAAATAGGTTCTAGACAGTTCTTTAAGTGAAGACAGCATTGGCTGTTGCAGATAAGGAGTGATGACAGTTTAAGGCACTTAGATTAGGAGCATAAGAAGAAGGAAGTTTATAAAGATGCTTCTTATTAACCTAAAAGACTAATTAACTTGAAAGATTTAAGAACAAGCAGAAGTGGAGTAACTGGGTGGGAGTAGGAGGAAGGAGGAAGGAAGGGGCAAGGAAGGAACTAGTTTCTAGTATCTAGAAAATACCAGGATAAAGTGAGGATGTATAAAAGTTGAGTTGAATTATAAAATAATAAAAGCAGAAGACAAGGAAGTGGGATACACAGTCTCTCTGTTACTCGGAGAGGATGGCGTCTATCTTAATGGTAATTAAGCAGAACCCAAAATTGGGTGTATTGCATCTGTTTTCCTAAGGATAGTGATGTTATTGTGAAGGCAGAGACAATGGATATAAGGATGTGGGTATGGAAGATGCGGCTATTTCATTCAAATCAATACAGAGGGAGGCAACAAAAGGCAGCAGAAAGATGTAGATGGAATGGAGCTCCAGGAATCTTCAAGACCTAGCTTGTGGTGCTACAGGATTCTTGATACTTAAGGCCTGTGATATGGTAGGCCTGTTGTTGTTTTCTAGATGAAGTTGTTAAAGGATAACAGTTGAGGTTATTACAGGATGAGAGAACAGCAAGTCCTGTGTGCAACTTGAAGGAGGAGAAAGGTAGTCTAGTAAATGTGGCCTTTCAGAAGTAAAAAAACCATAATCGCTTATGGATGGAACAGCTACATTCTGCAAGAGACGTTATTCTCTGTGGTAAAAAGAAACAGGTGCCAGGGACTTGGGAAGTGTTTCTGGTCCAGCATTCCTTTTTCACATCTGCTTGATGTGTCAATGTACTGAACTTCCCATAACTCAGGTACATGTGTAGTAGGATCAGGTTCCTAATAGCTTGCTTGCACTGAGTCTGCAGATGGTCAAGTGAAGCATGTTTCCTACCATGGGTGGCTCTGCAGGGCTGGACCTGGCAGTTCTTGGGTCTGTCAAGAGAAAGGAAGCTCTCCTGACCTGGAACATGCCTGAGCAAAGGTTTGGAGGAACCGCTTGCCTGTTGTCCTGTCAGTAAGCCTCTGTTGCAAACCATACCAAAAATTTCAGGGCTGTTGAAAGGGATAGGTTTTGTGTTGGGTTTTGCTTGGAGGACAGAATTCTAATAGCATGATTAAGGATAGATTATGTTGCTTAAGGATAGGTTGTATTGGTGGATGCCCCATCCCTGGCTGTCTTCAAGGCCAGGCTGGATGAGGCTTTGAGCAACCTGGTCTAGTGGAAGGTGTCCCTGCCCATGGCAGGGGGTTGGAACTAGATGGTCTTTAAGGTCCCTTCCAACCCGAACCATTCTGTGATTCTATGGTTCTATGATTTAGCAGACGGCTACTTCTAGTAGGAGACTCAGCTACTTCTTTTACCTGGTTCAGATTTTGAGTTGAAGGTACTTCATCTGCAAATGCTCCTTAATGGTCTAGCTGAGACAGTTGACTTGCGATGGTCTTCTGTTAGAATTTTGATAAGGAACTTAATTGATTACCAGTGTACCTTGAAATAAATAACATGCCCTTCCATTTTTCTTTGAAAGATTAGAAGCTATTTTCTCTTACAAATCACTGGAGATTTCCACTTGGTCACTCTGTAGCATGTGTGTCCGGTGTTATAGCAGAAATCATGAGGAACTTAGGATTTTACTCAGTTCATTTTGTTCAAAATGTTGGGGCTGTCAGCTGTTTGTCTTAGGCAGTGCATAGACTCATGAACTCGAAGTCCCCAGGGAAGTTAGGCTGGCCAAACCCTCACAAATTTACCGTTGATATTGGAAAGATGAGACAACCAGTGCTTTTTTGTATTACTCATCCACAGTGTACTGTCAATCAAAGCCCACTTCGTGGTCACATCTACAAAGCCAGCATGGATGCTACTGCTCTTTTGATTCAGGATTTACATTGTGCACGGTGAAGTCCAAGTTGTTTAAGCTCAGAACCTGTTTTGCCAGAGGCGAATACATTTTTCCATACTTCAGAGAAAGCCTTATTATTCCAGTCAAAATCACAGCATTATAATAAAAGATTACATCCTAGGTATGCACAGAGTACCAAGGACCTAATTAAAATGCATCCTATAAAAAAGAAAGGCATTTTGGTTTCCCTTTGTCTGAAGTGACAAGATCTTGAAGCAACCAAACGTTCCCTGGTCAGGTGGATTAAGTTACCTACTACAGAGACATAAAAAAGTATCAGACAAATCTGAAGAATTTTGTTCATGATGCTGCAGAAAGAAAAGCCTGTACCTCCATTTTAGAAGTCTTCAGGGTTGTAACAATCTTCTGTCCACATCTGAAGTTTTATAGAGATGGATTTTCTATCTATGTAGAGGCCTTCTTCAGCAAGAAGCCCTGCAGCCAGTGATCTGTAAAAACCCCATGCTGTTCAGACGTTCGGTCTTAAGGGCTAGAATTTTGGACTCTCTTGTTTCCCCTTACGTAATGTTCATCGTTCAGTATTTTCTGTGAGTCACAGAGATGTGGGAGATGTTTGAACTGTAGAATGGAAAATTTCTTACCTGTTAACTTTTTTTTTTTAATGTAACAGCAGTATCTTCTTCGATATTACTCATTATAGTTTAGCAGCCAAGAATAATGTCAACTTTGTCCATTCCTTTCCGTAGACTGTTTAGCCAGGTGCACATAGCTTACCTGATTGGTGGTAGAGAATCTACTAATCTATAGCCTTGAAAGGTTGATGGCTTGATCAAATGGCTTTTCTAAGGCGTAGCTGAGGAGGAGGATACATTGTGGGGCAAGAAGTGGAAATAATCTGATGCCCCATACAGTAATGAGAGAGACAGCCAGCAGGAAGAAATACTAATAGCTTGCACACACTGGTATCTTCAGGATTATTATTTCCTTCAGAGCAGTGTATTTAATACCCAAATTAGTTGCACTATAAGGATGATTGCTTGATTTGACACTTTTTGTCTGCACTGCCTGTTTTGTGTGTTAGTAATTTTCTTTATTCTGTTGTTAAAGAATCAGATATATAACTGGAAAAACACCCCGATATAAAATACACTTATTACCTGCAGTGTCTTATTTGCATGATAGTCTATAATTGTCTTGTTTTGACATTGCCAACAAATTAAATTTGCTAGCAGAGCTTGTAGCATTGCAAGTTAAAATACCTCAATAACCTTTTGTTTTTGGAAGATGCTGTCTGCTGCAGCTTCCACTTGTATTCTTGTGATTTTAAAATAGTATCTCAGTTTCACAAATAGGAAATTCTACCCTGATAGACAGCAGCACAAATCACTTAATTGAAATTACCAGATACATTATCATTACAGGATTTTTATATTCAATATGCCAGAGGAAGTGTAGCATGTATGGTACACACTGAGTTTCATAACTAGCCAAAAATGCAGAAGTCTGCATGTGTTAGACTATATGTCCTAGCAGAGTGGGTACTTGGAAGACTTGAGTTCTGGTCTTGGTGGTACTGTGATATTTGGGAGATCATAAAAACAGATGGTGCACCTTAGATTAAAGGTCTGCGTAGGTGCTATTTTGTCCCTCCAGTGTTTAGAATAGACAGTTACTTCATCTTCTCGTACCGTTCTCTTCTAAAAAATTAGCACAATTACAGAGATAGATGATAAATGATTTACGCATCAACTGAATAGACACTAGATTTGAGGTAGTTTAAATACATTCTATTCTCAAAATAGCCTATGCAATAGCTGCCGTGTTCATCTTTTAATGCCTTTAATACATTAGAATGTCTTTTCTAATTTGCTTGAGGGAGGATCAGACTGTTGAAGAATACAGCTCTCATTATGGCAAACTTGAAATGATGGCTGCATAGCAAATGCAAAAAAACCCCAAACCAACATCATCAGATGTGGAAAAAAAAACCCCCAACATTCTTTGCATTCAAATCCTACACAAATTTCATATGTAAACTCTGATCATTGCATAATTATTCTAAGTACTGATCATTGCTTACTTTATAGTTACAATTTTTAAGAAACTTCTCAGTTCTCAGGTCATCTGGTACCTATTAGCATTCTTGGAAACAATGAGTTGTCTTAAGTGGTTTGTTGTATTAATATGAATGGAACTAGTAATAGAAATAAGTTGATCTTTGAAGACAGGTATTGTTTTAGTGGATAGTGTTGTCTAGCTTAACATTTCTGCTTGTCATTGTCTGGGTATCTAGAATTCTGAGGATGTGTAACTGATCAATGTAATGCCACGTCAATGCTTTTGCATGGGTCTATATGAAAAGAAAATTACGTATTTTTACTGACTTTATTCAGGGATTTGATAAGCACAGATTCAAATATAGTGTTTTGAAAAAGATGCAGACATCACATGATATCATAGAGTTGTGCAGGAAAGGTATTCAGGTAAAGATATCTTGAAATATAGTCTATTATGCAACCTGAATTTGTCTGAATCCCCAATTATTAGCTGTCATTGTATTAATTTAATTTTCAATATTTAACTCTTAACTGTGATATCTCTCTGTAAAAAATTACTTTGTTCCTAATGTTTAAAATCTGTTTCCAGGCTGCAAGCTGCTATATAAACAAGACTTTGCAAGACGGTTAGGACTGAGATGTGTTACTTGTAATTACTGCTCACAGCTGTGCAAAAAGGGAGCAACTAAGGAACTTGATGGTGTAGTGAGAGATTTCTGCAGTGAAGAGTGCTGTAAAAAATTTCAGGACTGGTACTACAAGGCAAGTAACTCAGAATTTTTGACGAGAGCTCCACAGTTAAAAAAACCAAAAATGCACATGTGAGGATTTCTCAAGGATTGTGCAGCAAATATGGCTTACTTCAGCAAAGCATTTGCTAAACAATAAGCAAATGTATTAATTTCACTATTTGAGTTTTCTTAGAGCAGCATTTCTACCATCTGATTCTATTAATTCATTTGGCAAGGAAGTCTTGAGTTACAGAAAAAGCAAGGAACTACTATGTATATTTGTTACTTTACAATTCCAATTTTTTCTCCTCAATTGATACCATATTTTTCTTGTCAAAACTTCTTAAATGTGTGTTCAGAATGTTGAAAACAGTGTTAGCACCTGGATGATACCTTGAGTTGACTGACAAATACACTAGGTTAGCAAAGTTTTTCTTGTTCCTGGTTTTGCCTCCTTTTTTGCCTTTTCCCTTCTCCCACAGTTTGAACTGCAGAGGCTTTGGTTGTTCAGTATTTCCCAGTGGAAAGGATGCCAAAGGGAAAAGCAAGACCAAATGGATTTCTAATAAAAGTTTAAATCAAACAGATGGCATCTATTTCCAAATCTCTGGAACCTTAACTACCTTGTGAAGCCCAACCAGCAAAGAGTTCATGTTAAGAGGTTTTTTGCTTTCATTTTTTGAAAAAGATAAAGGTGAAATTGGACTGGGTTTAACCTGCGATTAATACCATGGATAAAATATTTGACCTGTGGTGTGAACATCCTGGAAAGCTACACTGATAATAGCGAAACAAGAGCTGCACTTGTGGATGCAATTGCAAAAAAGACAGTACAAAATTCATCACCTTACCAAAACTCTGTACACAGCCTGGAAGGCAATAAAAAGCTTGAAGTGTTAGAGAGCTAGATACAAGTCCTGTAATTCCAGATGATCGACCTACCATAAAAGAACTGAATCTGAAGACGTATCTGATATTTTGGAATGGCTGGTTCCAGAAATGTTACAGCCAAACACTGTAAAGTCTTTATTTTGAATAATGTGTGTAGGGTCCTGTAAGATATTGCTGAAAGAAAACTACTGAAGACCAGAATGTGTTTCTTCTGTCTCATGTGAAAGTAGGGTGACGAAGCTTGGCTGCAAAGATCTTAAACTTACTAAAATGTTAACTTCATACAATACTTTTAATCTATATGCCTTAAAACGTCGGGTGTGGGGCAAAATTTACCCCTGCGTAAGAAGTGCCTTCTGATAGAGAACTTAATAAAGCTTTGGTGTACTTTAGAAATCTCTTGGTGATTCATTAAAGAATATAGTGTAGGGGTGTGCATACCAAACTGGTTTCATATACATAAATTTCTATGGAAGCTTGTATCTAGTTAAGGTTTGAGAACCACTTGAAAACTCTTAACTTCAGGTCATCCTTCTGACCGATGGGATAAAGCAATAACATCATTGGCCCATTAAGTCTGCCTAAGAAATGCTGTTGGTACTGTGGTACAGGAAAGTTAGGCGTGATGCCGAAATTCTCCACGGAGAGGGTGGTGAGGCACTGGAACAGTTTGCCCAGGGAAGTTGTGGATGCTCCATCCCTGGAAGTGTTCAAGGCCAGGCTGGATGAGGCTTGGAGCAACCTGGTCTAGTGGAAGGTGTCCCTGCCCATGGCAGGGGGTTGGAACTAGATGGTCTTTAAGGTCGCTTCCAACCCAAACCATTCTGTGATTTTATGATGCCCTGAAAAGGCAATTTAATGTAAACAGACTTGCTGGTAACTATTGACTTTTGATACTTTTGATGATACTGAAGTGTTAGATGTTTTTACTCTTGGAATCTTACTATTGATAGTGGAACTAGTCTTACATGATGTTGAATTGTCGATTTTTTTCAAATACTTCTTAAAGCCTTTGCCTGATTCTGCTCTGGTTATAAAAGTTTGGGATTTACTACATGGGGAAGACATGTAATAGGTTTTGGGAAATTGCGTCTTTTGCTAAAATTGTCTTTTTTTTCTTTACATCCTTGCTGATAACTTCTCCCTCTTTTATAAAAGTCACTCCAGGTATCTTAGATGTAGTTGTACATTGTTAGCTGATGTTCTTACCTAGCCCTAAATAGAGAATGATCACAGTATGGGAAGACAGAATAGAGATGGACCCCTCCAAATTTGTACTTCATTTGCTGTTTTGTCTGTTAGCTGTTTTAAAGAATAGTTACATATGTATGAGCTTTGTCTCATTTCTGCAATGTCCAGTGTTATTTTGGAGTTTCAGTGAATGTATTCATGAAGAGAAATAAGTAGTAATAACATAGTAGTGTTTTAATACCAGCATTCTGTTCATTAAACAAGTGTTTGTCTCCATCCTCTTTGTCTACTTTTTTTTATGGACACATCTTTCTCATGAAGTATTATCTGGAAATCATCTTAACTTTTAAAGATAGTTAAGTATTATGGGATAGCTTCTCTGAATGCCAAAATTCTCTTCTCAAAAAGCCAGTATAAGGTAGCAGTGGTTATGTGAAAGTATTAGAAGCACATCAGACTTATCTAGGAGTGTTCTTCAAACCTAAGATGAGGAATTTAAATGTAAAAGAATGGTTCAGTCCTAATCATCTGTTCTGTGGCAACTACAGCTACAGTTCATGCCAACTTCTGAGGAAATTCCTACTGTATGGTGTCCATGCACCTCTAAGATGAGAGGTAAAAGTTTAGGAGTCTTGATGTTAGCTCCCTAGGTTGTTAGAGCTCCTCCTGTAAACTTCAATTGCATGCCATGGTTTGGATGTTAATGTGAAAAATTCCTGGGCAATTCAGTATAAGTATTTTTAGTAGCCTGACGTTTGACAGTTTAGTCATGTGATGCTACTTACACTAGAACATTCAAAGTACCTTGAAAGAGTATACAGCTCTGAGAACGACACAGAAATCTGTTTCTTTAAAAATACATTGTGAAACACTGCTGCAAATACTACAGCTGAAGTGTGCTTACAGGGCATTGAGGGCTACAGTGGAGTATTGCTGGGACTGAGCACTTACGGTGATGACTGTATTCAGTGGAGATCAGGTGTCTTCAGCAAAGGCTACGTAGGAGGTGAGGAGCTACTGTCTGAGGCAGAGAAAAATTAATTATTGTAGCTGGTGAGCTCAGGTAGCAGTGATTGTCAACAGTGGTAGGATTTGAAACAGTGGAGCCAGCATTAATCTAAATGGGAAAGGCAGCAAGACAACCTTACGGAATTTCTCTTGTCTGAATTTACCCATTGTATAGTTAGGCACCTCCGTTTCAAGTAGGTACTGTTGCAGAACAGGTAATCTTCTTTCTCTTATAATCACTCTCTGGAAACATCTTTTGCTTCCTATTTAATGTGAGTTCAGAATAGACTAGAATTGCGGACTCGAAATAGACAGCTAAGATTAGGTCAAATTAATACCAGTCCAGACCATTGGAGAACACTTAGGAACAGGTGATTGGAGGATTTGGAGGATTAAAATTTTAAATAAAAGCCCCACATGTGAAAACTTGGGTTTTAAACCGAATTTGGGGCAAAAGTTAGTGATTTATACTAATCACCATGCCCCTTTGAACATGTTGAAGTTGTACCTGGGAGAAGAATAGGACCAAAAAGCAATCATGAGTGGCAAAGGAGTTATGTGCAACAGGAGTAGAGATGGACTTCTTGGAAACACGGAGATAGAGCAGACTGGAAGGCAGGCATTTTGGAGGTTCAATTAATGCATAGGACCAGTATCCCAAGTGAAAACAAATGGAAAGGGGGAAGAAGGAAAAGGCACAAAATCATGAATTCATGTTTTTGCTTTCAGTTAATTTCATGGTCAGGGAAGTGGGGAGAGCAAGCACGTAGTAGGAAGCCTCAGTGCATGCATGCAAGCATGATCGTGGAAATGGTAGAATTACGGTGGAGCAAACATAGAAATAAAGGATCCTTATAAAGGAATCTTGGGCTTGCTGAGGAATAGTAATTTCCATGTGGAAACCAAACTTTTTTCACCTAAATACCTTAGCATCAGCGCAGGAGAGACAATAATGTGCTTCCTTAAAGGTCTAAATGAAAGAGCAGGACCAGGATAGGGAGCAAACAGTTGCAGGAAGGCTGTACTTGCTGCATTTGACAAGATTTATCACCTTTTCCTTTCTTTGAAGGAGAGAGAAAATTGAGCAGGAAGTGGTGCTTTGATAGTCAAGCGGTGTGCAGCAGGTCAGAGTAGGTGGGCTTTTCTCTACATGGGTCAGCTGTCGTTCTTAACAGGCAGTGTTAGGTGGGCTTGAGATTTAAAATTAGAGTGAATTTCACTTTTTTTTTCTACTGGTATTTCAGCTTTTTGGTGGCTTTGGAAGATGCATTTGCATTAAAGGTGTGAATTCACAGTTTCCCTGAACTGATAAATCTAGGCTGTTTTGGCCACACTCCACACTTCATCATCTTCCCCACTCCCTTCCCAGAACACAACTTACTTGCTCTTTTGTCCCACTGAGAACAGCTCTGCTGCAAAATGAACTATGGACCAGCATCAGCAGCAAATCAAAGTGATAAATGTTTAAGCCTGCCCCCGAAACAGTGAGGGAGGATGGGGGGGTGATGCAGTGCTTGTAGGATCCCTCTCCCTCTGTTCCCTGCAGGTGCAGAAGCACTGCTGCTGGCGCATGCTCAGACCATGGGGGTAAGAAGTACCTGCCCTCCCAGGGGCTCCTGGCACTTGGGGTGAGGTGATCCTGAAGCCACAGCTTTAATTGCTCCTGGGCACACTAAAACATTTTTATTTAAAGGGAACGTGTAGATAGTTTTTAAAGCTGGTTATAATTGAGTCAATATACTACCTTAATTTCTTAATTATTTGAAAATTGCAAGTGAGAGCTGAATTGCCAGAGGATGGTACTGGACTGTTCCAAGTACAGAGAAGGAACTCAACATTTAATTACTTTTTAAATTTGAACTAATTAGCCTGTTGATACTTTTTTGAAGTTGTGAGAACTACAGTTGGACTTTTTTGTTGGTTTTGGGGTTTTTTTTTTAAGCCATCAGAGCCTTGTGCGTAACTGCAATGTTGTGTATGGTTTTACATATTAATGTTTTATGTTGCATACTATCATAACTTCCCTCTTCCTCTCCTGGCTGTATTACTTGGTTGACTTATTTTGGATTCCTGAGCATCCATAAAGCTTTTGAGTTTTTTTAGGACTGCTTTAGGACAGAGGTTGCAAGCAACATGAAGGGAAGCAGTGGTGCAAACCATTCTTTCTTTGCTTGAGTATCTGAAACTGGGGCTACCACTGTTCAGATAATAATTTCTAGCGTGGCTGATTAAATTCCATAGAATCTATTTTGGCCAAAAGTAACTTCTTAGTTGTATGTCATGAAATTATCATCTAGGCTGGTGAAAGATAGATACTTAAATGTTTAGTTAGGGGTACAGAAGAACGTTTTGAGTTTCAAATTAAATGCTAACTAGAGTTTGTGAAAATCTCTGCTTTGAGAGCTGTTGCTTATAAATCATAGAGAAACTTCGATGAAATAAATAATTGGAATCTAAAATCGTTGTGAAATTAAAATATATGTTATTTCCACTAAAGGGCTCTGATTTGCTACCTAGAGAAGTGATTCTGTTTGTGACTTGAAACAACCACCAAACTTCAGTGGGAAAAAGCCCAACTCTGCTTGTCCTCAGTTCAAGCAGGTCATTAAGGAGTCTCAGTCACTTTCTGCTCTTGTTTTGCAGAATTCTTCAGTGAAAATAATTCATGCATAAAATTATTTTTTTTTCTGACTGTCAAGAAATGAGCAATTAGTGAAACAAAGCAGATTCACTCTGGGTTTTAATCCCCAGCAAACAATTGCAAATAAAGTGACAGACGCGCCTGCATACCCAGGTTACACGGTAGTGTAACTGTCGTAGAGCCTACACAAGTGAGACTTAACTGTGTAGTGGTCATGCTTCTTCAGTACTCTAGAAAACATATCCTTTTAAAATGTAGAAACATTTTTTTTTTGTTTCCAAGACTTGTTTAAAAATGTCAAAACCTTTCTTTTGCATTCAGGCTGCGCGATGCGACTGCTGTAAGTCTCAAGGAGCTCTCAAAGAGAAGGTGCAGTGGCGTGGCGAAATGAAACACTTCTGCGACCAGCACTGTTTGCTCCGCTTCTACTGTCAACAAAACGAACCAAATCTGGCAACCCAAAAAGGACCTGAGAACTTACACTATGGTATGTGATGCTTTATGGCTGCTAAATGGCAAACACAATGCTTCCTTTAAATGAAAAATTTAAACCTGCCTGAATTATTTATTTGTTGTAATAAACTGTGCTAGAGAGTACCCTTTTTTATTTTATCATCAGAGGCATCATTGAGCTGCTTGCTATTTTTTATCTTAGCTCCTTATTTTATTGCTTTTTCGAGAGATGAAACATTGCGAGGTAATCAAAGAGTTTCGTAATCACATTTTTAAAAACAGATTTTCTTTCTTGGTTAAGCATAATTTTAGTGTTGTATCTTCATGGGGTTAGAAAATGGTTTTCTCTTTCATTGTGCTCCGGTTTGTCATTACTTGCTCTGTGGAAACACTTCTTTCCAAAATGTGTTTTGGTCACAGAGAGCAGATAAATGCACTAGGAATGGAAAAAAAAGTAATTAAATGGAATTAAAAGGAAATAAATGAAATGGAAACTAAATGAGAATGGAATGAAAGTATCTAGATAAGAGGAATACATTGCTTTCCCCCTCTCCCCAGTGGTCAATAGGTACCATATACATTTGCTGGTAGGGGCTGAATGCATGCTTACATGGTTTAAATGGCAAGTCAGGCAAAGTTAAAATAAATCTGGTTTTTAATTAATATAATTTTTGCAACACAACTTCTTTGTATCGCCATTTTCATATTTGACCATTTTGGTATTTACTTTTCTGAAAGAGGCTGTATTCACATCTGGATGGAGCATTGATTTAGCATTGGCCCTTGTGTAAGCTTCAACGCCAGAAAGTGAGGTGCCTTATGAATGAGAAGTCTTGCGGGCGGTTCTCACCTGCGATGCACCACTAACCAGTGCTGTTAATCTCACGTAATCCTGATGATAGATCTTGTCTGAGTTGCTTACTGAAATTTGCTTCAATTCTGAAAACAGGAAAAAAATTTCTAAAATGTTTTCTTACATTTTTAGATCAGGGCTGTCAAACCCCCCGAACAAAAATAACAGTAAGTACATATATTTAATGTATATATAACATAATTAAATATATTTAAAATGTGATATCCTGGTGGCTTAAGGGGATGCTATTTAAAACCAAAAAATTAGTACCATTGAATGATACTAAGCTAAATGTATGAAGTTTTTTAGTATTTGTCACATCAAGAGTTGAAATTAATTATTTTTATTGTTCATATTTTCAGTGTCTTCTGTCAGACATGTTATGGCTATAGTGCATGAAAGTATTAAAAGTTAATTCCAAACTATGTGTATTTTATTCACCTTTAGATTGATAAGGTTTATTTATTGAGTGTAGAAACAGAAAAGATTTTCACTGTTCAATTACAACAGTGAGGTTGCTTCTCAGCTTTGAAAGGCTGAAACTAAAGCTCCAGGTCCTAAAGTATAATTCCCAGGAGTAGAATAATTGGTGCTCAAGGTCTGATTGACTTTGCTGCAGGTGACAGAGTAGGGAAGCATAACCTTTCTCAGGATTGCTCTCTGGAAGGGTGGGGATCATGAGCGGAGCTGCAGCTTTCATTTTGAGTTTCAGTTTTTGTCAGCTTGGCAACAGTATTAATAATATTTTTTTTTTTTGTTAGCTTCGTGTATTTTGTTTGAAACTTAGTTTTGTTTTGATTCTTTGTCACATGGAAGATCGCGGAAGTGCCTGTTTTTCCATGAAAACACTGACTCACCTTTTTAATGTAAATAAGCTTCTGTACGGTAAATCTTAGATTTAAGTGAAAACATTTTGATGGCTTTTTAACATATATTAATAAAAAATACAGAAAATTAGATTGCTCAGGTAACTAGGGACATCAGACAAACTGAATTGTCAGGTTAAAAACATCTAGTATTTTATTTTTAGTAGGTTCCAATTATGTTAATTCTGTCCATAATTTTTAAAAGATCATATCACAGCTGTTTGTGATACAATTTTTAAAATATATTCTAGTAGGCGTAAGCCTGTCAAATACTGCTGTTCTTAGGACTTGACTTTCCATATTTAAAAGGATATGTGGGGCTAGTCTTACTACATATGATCAAATAAAAGTGGCAGTCTGTTTCCTAAATCAGGTTCTCAATTAGGTGCTAGGGGACAAAAAACCATGTTTGGAACAAGAGGGTTTTTACCTGTTGCCTGTAGGGATGCAGTTTGAGGATGATGGGGTGGTCCCACGTATATGCTGTCAGTATTGTAATGCCAGCAGGGGGAGCGCGACACTCATGCTTTGGGTATGAAAACATTGGTTAGAGCTACTGTTTCATTTAGAAATACTTTTTTTTTTTTAAATGTGATCTTTGGATTATAGCATAGTTCAAGAAGGTTAGACCTCGAGCCACAAGTTTGTCATGCTACTGACAGTGAATTCTTTTTACAGCTACAATTATTTTTGAAGTTATAAAATAACTTAAATTGCACTTTTATTTAAACAAGAATGTGAAGAAGAGTATCTTAAAAGTATCTTAAATTAAAAAAAAAAAAAGGAAAAGGAACATGGGCCAGAACTTGTTCATCAGAGTGCTAGCCCTGACTCAGCAAAATACAACCATGTTACATTCTTGGCAGTGGCAGCACATTACTAGAAATGTAGAATAGCTTGCAGTTAAAGAATAACAGTTAGTGCTGTTGTGTTCCGTTGTGAGTTTCCTCTTCGGTATCTCATATATTAAAATCATCAACCGATAACATTAAATCAGGAATTGTCTGTTGAAATCACTTTGGTGTAACGACACGTTCTCTTTTATTTGTGTGTCTGCAGGGCTCAGCACCGCCACCTTCTCCAACACCTAACAGAGAGATGAAGAACAAGGCAGTTCTTTGCAAGCCTTTGACAATGACAAAAGCCACATACTGTAAACCTCATATGCAGACAAAATCTTGTCAAACAGGTAACTCTTGAACTGTACTGGAACTACTCATTTCTTCATTGTGGATTTTTTAAGCTCTTACTGTTTTGGAAGATACTGCAAACATTCTGATTTTTTTTCCCTAAACTGCAGGTGTAAAATATATTTAAGTACCTGGCAGTGTTTGCCTTTTTCTTTTTTCTTTTAATAGAAGATGATTGGAAAAAAGAATATGTCCCAGTGCCTATTCCTGTACCTGTCTATGTTCCGGTGCCTATGAACATGTATAGTCAAAATGTTCCTGTTCCTACAACGGTTCCTGTTCCCGTAAGTCAGACTTCAGCTTCATTTTTAAATTGTCATCCATTTACCTGCATGTGTGGGGCCCCTTTGTGTTGCTGACTGTTCTCGTTCTGGTCCATCTGAAGGATTGCAGGACGCTGCAGCACTATTTACTGAAAAAGCATTAGAAATCTGACAGCGGCACTTAATTTCCTGGTGGTTCTTTAGGACCTATATGCCTGCTTTCAGTGTGAAAATCTTGCACTGCTGAACTCTTTAGGAGCGATTCGGAGTGATACTTTTGATTTTGCTGAATAAGTAGTGGGTAATGGGAAACTGAAACATCATGCTGGGGAAGGATGGCAGAGTGGGAGACACAGAAGGAATGTGTGTGCCCGCAACAGATAATAACTAATTTGTTATCACGTATGTACCAAATCTCATCCAAATGGTGAAAAAAACCCCACCTGAATTCCTAAAATTCCATGTTTCACAAGCTAGCCATTAAAACAGGACACTGATTTGTCCAAACTGTTAGTCTGGAGTTCTAGTCAGGCAGGTTTGAAGCTCCAAAGTCCCTTCTGTTCTTACTTTGAACCGCTGTATTTTGTCATTTTTTTTCTGTATCCTTTCCCTTCTGTTCTCAATTATTTATATTAAATTTTTTAACCTAACATTTTTTTTTGTTAGCCCACACTGAAGTTACATGTTTCTAATCTGCAGTAACTCTGGGTTTAGTTTGTTTCTGTGCTGACTGTTGGTGATTTGTTGTAGCATTATTATTTTTTTTCTTTTCAAATTATCTCTTCCTTCCTGTCTGCACAGATACCAGTTCCAGTTTTTGTGCCCACTACCCTGGATAGCAGTGAGAAAATCCTTACAGCAATAGAAGACCTGAGGGGGAAGGTACCCTCAAATCCTCTAGAAACCGAGCTACTGAACTTGTCAGGGATGGTATCTGAACATGATGGAAGAGCTGAAGCTTCTGATATGACCAGTGAGTCTCCTGATGAGTTCATGACACTTTGGAGGGTCGGGGTGTGTGAGTGGGTGTGTATGAATCAAGGGAAGGTTTGTTGTTTATTGGTTTATTTGCTTTG